GAGGAAGGAGGGACATTCAAAGGATGATGTTTGTCTTCCCAAGTAAACAATATGGTGATGAAGCCCAGCTTTCCTGGGGATGGCTGAACACCTGCGTGCCCTTGGGAAGTGGTGAATTAATTCCTTATTTTGCTCTGCTTGTGTGTCAGCTCTTGCTTTACCTGTTAAACTGCCTTTACCTCAGCCTACAAGTTTTCCCCTTTTCTGATCCTTTCCCCCATCCCACTGGTCAGGGAGTGAATAAGTGTCTGTGTGGGGGTTAGTTGCTGACTAGAGTTAAATCAGGATAGGGTGTTATGCTCCCAAAGTGAAAACTATTAAAATATCAGCTTCCAATCACTCAGAACAACCCAGAAGTGACCTGTTCATCAAGATGGCTGTGCAGAGCCATCGTACTCTCAGCCCCATAGAGCAATAGATCTGTCTGCTATTGTACCACTTGGAGGAAAAAACACACCAAGATACAACAACATCCTCTCTAACAAACATCTTTTAAAAACATATACAGCTCTTCTACTGGAAAACCACAGCTTTGTTTGTTCTTAGTTTCTGTTGACAAGAAGTCTCAAAGTTGAGAGTTGCAGCTCTTCCTATAATGGCCTATTTTGATGAAAAATATGAAATAAGCCATTGCAACCATGCCAAGACCATTGTATTTCATCTCTCTAATCCTATTACCAAATGAACAGACACTGGTACAACATCAGCCAGTTATTTCCCAGAGAGTGCCAATATCATGTTGACAGAAAGCAAGTAGAATGGGCGTTTAAATCAGGAAGAAAATGAGATTCGGGAAGACTGGAGAACCTCATCATGCCAGGAGGTCAAAGAATTTTTTCAGCAATGCACTTCTTTGCCAGAGGAAATGGATAAGAAGTTTATAGGCTTCTGATCTTCAGAACAGTCCCTCACACAAAAGGAGAAATTATTTCAAAGAACAGGGCCTGGATTACACATCTATAGATCACAGGCATATTTATCAGGTCAGAGGGCCTAAAAAGATTAAAACATCAATGTTTGTAGAGTAATGGCTTCTTGGGAAAGCTATGCCAAGACATCACCATTAAACAGAGTTTGCCAGACCCTAAAACCTCAAAAGGCATATTTGGAGCGTCAGATGGAGCTTTGAAATCCATCTCACATTCTTCTTTGTTTTGCCATCTTGCCCTTAAACCTTAAAGTACTAAACCTGAGAGAGACAAGTGAATTTATGAAACCTGCCATGGCAGCTACAGACTGGCATTTGATTACAGCTCTTTGTATGTGCTGAACCACCAGATATCACCCCAGTGACCACTTGTAGGCAGAGGACTCACCCAGCAGAGAAAGGAGATAGAACATCAAACCACGTGTTCATCATTTTGACAGGGTCTTCTGGAGCATTACATTTACATATTTATTTATAGGTGTATATATATATTTTTTAAAATGGCTGCTCCACCACCTACAAGGTGAAACTCCATCACTATAGTGACTAATGCAGCAGAATACACAAGGATAATATGCAGTTGTTCCCAGCAGCAACTTGATTAAAGCAACTAAAAGAACTTGAGGAAACCAGAAAAATCACAGTAAATAAAATACAAGAAATTCGGTGATATTAATTGCCTTTCATCAGTTATTTCTTCAGAATTTATGTGTTTGACATACATGGGACTAGAACTGAGAGAATAACACTTGTTGGATATTGTTAGATCTTCTATACTTGCCAGAATTACTTCTGACAAGTATAATTTTTGTAAATTTTTATCCAATTAGTGTATACAACAAATGTTTCTTATGTGCAGCTGAACGCAGCTTCCTGGAAAACATCCCTACAAATGGCCATCTGATTAGTCCCCATCAGGAGGAACATACTGTATCAGAATAGGAGGATTGGGAAAAAAACAAATGACCAAAAAATACAGTAGGCACACTGCTATGATCCCAAGAGAAAACAGTACCTTTACTCATCTGAGGGACAAACTCAAAAGGGTGGGAAAAAAATCCAGCTTATCTTCCAAAGTATTTTTATTGCCTTTTTTCAGGTCAGTGATTGAAACCACACACCACCCTTCTGGAACCTGAGTGAAGTTTTCTAGTGCTCTGAACAAGTGATTTCAATCACTGAAATTATCTGGATTCTAGTCCTATGTCATGCTCTTTCTGAATCTTGTCACAAAGTAACCGATGACTTCAATCACACTGCAACACTGATTTCCTGCCCTGGATCAATACAAAACATTTCTTGATTAGGTTTTTGGTGCTAGGAAGAATTTCATCACTATCAATCTTATTGACTGGCGCCTTAATGTACTAGTATATGAAGAACCCTATATTTATTTTTAAACAAAGGTTTCCACATGTATATACAGACTGAACTACAAACAATCTATACTGGCAAATAGCTCACAAAAATGGGAAAGAAAGGAAAGAGCTGTGAAGGGACAGGGAGTGAGCACCCAAGGAGAGTGCTGAAGGCAATAGATACTGGGCAGATTTCAGAAGCAGTGCAGAGTGCTGACAGCACAACTGCAAGAACATTTTGCTTAAATACAGACAAGAGGCATGAAAATCCAGTTGAAGACTCAGTACACATACCATCTAAGGGAGCAAGTATGTCACTTGCTGCTCTCTATTTTAGTGAGTACATTTCACCTCAAAGTATGTATTGAAACCTAAACCATAAGACTATTTTAAAATGTAATTTAAATGTTGTAAGTCCTATCTCTGGACACACGTATTTATCTGTCATATTTATATAGCAACTTCATCCTCAAGCTTCCTTAAACATTTCACAATCATATATTTGCACTACTGTGAAATTATGATCACTGCCAGGATGGCTTCCATAATGATATGCACAGGATATCCCTCAGCAATTAAAAAAACCCCGTGCAGTTTAATTTGAGAGAGCATTATGGTACAATCCTGTTCCCCCTGACTGCATTCAAGGACCTTACCCACATTATACACTTTGGCAGGGAAACCAAATCCTGTATATAAGCCAGCTCCAATTAGCTTCCAGGAATGGTCCAGCCTGTGCACTGGATAAGGCAGAAAGGCTGATAAAAACTTCATGTATGATTAATTAAGACTACTGCCACACATATTCACAAGCAAGGTGAACTGGAAGTGTTTAACAATACTTAGATTTTTTCCATCTTTGCAGTCTCAATAGACTCACTGTAGCTGATCTGTGTATATGTTTGTGACCTATGTATGTGCTACATGTTTGCAAGATGTTTGCTCTGTCTGCACTGAGCTGACCTCAGTGTGATTCAGGAAAACCAAAGTTAGAAGCATAAACTCCTTATTTAGTAAAGGGAGAAAAACAAGTGCCTCCCGGAAAGAGCTGATTTCACAGACTTAGGATGATGACCTAAGGTGGATGTTGTGAAAACCTCCCTACAGCAGCAAGTTTTTCTTATTTATTCTAAATATATATCTTTTTCCCCTCTGCAGTGCCAAATTCACACAGATTTAATCGACACGAAGGAACAGATGGCTGGAGGCCAGCGTTGGATCATGTCTGGTTGTGTAAAACTGCACACACTTCCAGGGTGTACAAGAAGCTTTGTGTGTGAAAGGTGGATGAATAGGAATTCATCTGGAAAAAAAGGAAACATAATGGATATCATACAGGAAGTTTATAATGAGCAATCAAGCCTGGGTCCTCAGGACCGAGCGACACTGGTCACACATGTGGCCAAAAAGCCCACGCTGATAAGAATAGCTGCAGTCAGCCTGCTTTAGCCAGGAGCCAGTTTGAGAACATATGGCAAAACAAATGATTCAATGCAATCTGCTCGTTCTGCTGCTTCCCCTAAATATTGCTGTACTCACATCCTCTGCTTTTTGCCTTATTATAGTGTTACTATTCCATAGCATGGAAAACACCTGTAGGGACGACAGAGACCTACAGAACTACTAACACAATACACTGCTGTGGAGATTCTCATGCTGTTTGCATAGATCAGCTTGAGATGTTTATATATATCTTGCTTCTTACTCATGGGAGAGAAAGGAAGAGAAGGGAAAGCCAGCAGACTTATGCTGTTTGCTCCTATTTCTTCCTTGCACACAAAAATGGATGCATTCTCCCCGTACATCTGGATTTCACACCAGGCACCCCAGCTTCTACCCAGAACCACTGCCCTTATGCTTTGTGAGGCTCACAAGAAACAGAAGTTTTACCATTTAAACCCCTATTCACATCCTTCAACTTTTTAAAATACCAACCCTCAGGCCTATAATATCCTGAGACAAAAATCTCAGTAAACCATCAAAGCTTTGAAAACTTTTTTCCTTTTATAGAAGTGGCTGTATAAATAAATAAGCAAACACACTACCCAAGCAGTGACGTCTGAGACATCACTGTCACCACAACTCATTCATCTATCAGAAGCCTTGCCATGTTTATTATTTTAAGAGTCACTGATTTCCCCCAGAATCAGACTGTATAGACTATAAAAAACTCCAGTCTGTTGTTCTTTAAAATCAACTTCTATTAATGGCAAAGGGAAGATGTTTGAAAACTTGAATTTTAAGAACTGGGATAACAGGAAGCAAAAACATATTCTAAGGTTTTCATTAAGGTTTGTTCTATAAAACTTAGGCTTTAGAAACAAATCTAACAATTTCTGAGGATCTTAGCTGCATGGACTTAGACTGACAGACTGCTCCTGGTTTCGGTGAGGCTCTTTTCCTGGTTCAGTAAGCTGCTGTGTAACCTTGGATTATTCCCTTTTCACTGTGCTCTGCCTTCTCTTTGCTCTCTTCCTTCCTGGTCATTTTTTGGGTCATTAATCCTGACCCTTTGCAGTTCTAAACATGTACCATGGCATAATGTAGGTAGTCCACTAAAATTATGGGATTACTCACAGAGAACACTTACACATATAGTGTAAATATATATAGTTAATTAATTTATATATATATATATATATAAATAAACATTTCCACTGCCAGCTCCAGTTCTGGTTGTTATCTACAGAAATTCATCTTATGGGGCACAGTACCATGTCACAGTGCAGCTCCAAGTTCAGGTCTCCTTTATTAGTGTGAAGTCTCACATATCCCTTCTTCTTCACATATTGATATCTCACAACATCTTCTTCAATAGCAGCTACAGCAAAGCAAAGGACAGTAATTAGCTCTCTGTAAGCTTGCTAATTGATCCTTAGAAATCATCAGTAAACAATTCATAGAATCTACTGTCTGACCTCTTCTCCTATGGCAGTGAGTCTTGAGGGAGCCTACTCTGCAATTCATCTATGATAACCTTGCATTAATCTCTGTGCAAAACACTTTCCATCATAGTAAACCACCAACTCTTTGAGAATCAACCAAATAATGTATATTTTAAATCCCAGAAGCATTCAGTAATACAAACTATAATTTTCAAGCAATGTCTACCAACCACAACCATTACTTCGAACCCAAATTGCTTCTTGCCAATCCTGGAAGCCAAGCAGGTAGCCATCAGCCAACCACAAACTGCTGACATACAGAGATCTACCCAGTTCTGAAAACAGCTGAAGCTATTACTGGGGACATTACTGGTAAGTCAAAGCAAAGGATCAATCTATGATGTTTCCATTCCCATTTTGTCAAAATGTCTAGTTAGTCAAATATTTTCTATACTCTGTCACCTTCAAATCACTGTAACATACCAAGTAAAGGAACTGAATTTGGTAAACATAGTTCTAGCAATGCGTTCAATCTTTGCCTAAGTATTTGCCATCTATATTTTAGTGCTTAACTTTCTCAACTGGAAATACTAATGACTCAGCTATTTAATCAATATCCAAACTAAATAGATCTTATACATTTGTGTTTAGGCTGGAGAATAAAAGGAAAACTTTACTTTATTAAAATGTATTTTGGTGTGAAAAGCAGTAAACTAAAAGTACCATCACAGAATTTGCTGTTGTTCTAATTAATACTGGGGTAGGTCAAAAAGGTGGCCAAGGTTTGGTATAGTATCTGAGGAGAGATTATATTTCATTCCTAACTTAGAAAAGGGGATATGTCAATTTGTCATCCCTGGCCATAGAAAATGTCTCATTAATTTTGGTTCAAAAGAAGTAACTGTCATTCAAAGCCAAAGCTTGACTGTAATTGCTCTAGTATTTTCAGAACAACCCCACTGGAAAGTAAGGATATATCTGGTCAGGGAATACATTTCCATGACATCAGCACTGACCAATTACCAATGCATTCTTTCAGTCCTCATAAATGTATGTGTGCTAAGGAGCACAATTTGAAACTCAGAAATAAAAAAATGGTCTGTAAGTAGGTAGTTCTGGTACCTGCTTCGTGGGTAGTTTCAGGCACCATTGCAGTGGAGGTGAAGGAAGCACTTACAGCTCCAGTGGAATAGTGAGCCTGTTTGCAGAGGAAAAAGCAAGAGAAAAAGACATTAGATCTTAGAATTTATCTACCAAAGATACTATTAAGCATTAGAAACACACAAATGCCATCCTTCTGAAGGCAGACTTCTGCTCTAGCTTCTACTGAAGGAAACAAATACCCAGTGCAGCAATAATTCTCCATCTGTTGCCCACATTTGCTCTGATGAAACTGTAGTTAAGGCTGCTCATGCGCTGAGCCAAAGGGGCTTAATGCTTCCCCTCCAGTTTAATACATCACTGTGCAGAGATTCTATCATCACAATTTATTTGTATGTGCAGGGGTACAGATAGGCAAGGAGTACTTCTGCCAAGACATCTGTAGAAGTCTCCAGCACTGCTGAGAGGAAGGAAAATCCAGTGAATCACAGAGATACTGTAGGGGAGAGCAAACCAGCCCCTCCCACAGCTGGTCCTGCTGTGTGCAGAGGCACTGTCCCATATTTTGAGCTCTGTAATTCTGCAGACGGGAAATCTGAACGTCACACACGGATTTTGTAGCAAATTACAAAGATCTAATAAACCTAGAGACATGTTCAGCAGTTCCAGGGAAATGCCTGTAAAGAGTCCAGCCAGGTCACTGCTCATTCCCTAAGGTTTCACTGCATTCTAAGCAAGTTTACAGCAATGCCCACCCATGTCATAAGCCGACAATCCAACTCCACAGCATGTGTAGAGCTCATCCTTATCTCTGCCCTCTTTTTTCTTCTCCTTACTATTTTTTTTTTATTATTTTAACACTACAACGTCCCAAAAAAGAGGGCATTTGTGATCCTACTCCTTGGTCACATACACTCCCTAATCTGTCTCTAAGCCTCTCATTAAAAGCTGTATGCTGCACTGCTGTTAGTTTTCATGTAAGTGTAATCAAAGCAAGTAGGCAGACACATCCCAGAATTATTAAAAGGACAGAAGAATACTCTCTCTTGCCCTTATGAAACAGCCTTTGATGTAGGAAATCTAGATGCAGATGTGTTGCTTCTCTTGACAACAATGAACATGCACCTGGAAGAACATGCTTTAAAATATTCCACTAAACTCTGCATTCCAGTGGAAAAAGAAAATGGAGGAGCAGCTTGGAATGATTTATGTATTTGTCCACACCAGAAATTATTCACTTGCACTACCTTAAGTTGTGCTCTCTCTGCCAATAAATGCAGGAAGCAATGATAAACAAACTCAAAGTGAGAGATTATAACCTGGGAAAAAGTTTCTGCCAGCACATACATAACCACATCATAAGGATTCTTCCTTCTCATTGTGATTCAGTTCTCAAACGTTTAGGTTCATTTGCAATGATTTAACAAATAGAAACTCACTGACACATATTATGCATGTCTAAGGAATCCTGATACAATTCTCATCTTTTCATCTATGACAAATTTCTGTGTGAGAGGAAACAGAAGGAGCAGTATTTGTTTATACTGCAATACGGCCTCTAAGAAGAAAAACAACTATTACCATTCTTGAAGAAGTCAATCAGTACCTACAAATTAAGTCAACTTACTGCATTCAGTTTATCCACCTTCTTCTTTTCAGGAGCCTTCATAGTAGCTGCTAAAATGTCATCACCTTTGAATTCCTTATAAAGCTCCAGTAAAGTCTCTCGGGTCTCTGTATTTGTATTTTTCAAATAGTAAGATGGATCTAATTTTGCTTTTTCTTCATCTAGGTAAGACAAAGTTAAATCACTCAGAATTAAAAGAAACATTGTCTTTTGTTCCCCTTCAGTTTATTACATAATTAATTACACAAAAAATTTCCAGCTATTAATGCTACTTTTTTTAAAATAAAAAGGTCTAGCAACTATATATATTCCTCCAGACACAGTGACAAATAGCAATGTATAACACTAATGACAGTGTTAAAAATATATAGCACAAAATATAGCACAATAAATGCCAATATGATGTACAAGAAAAAAATCAAGCCAACTATCTTGAAAATTTATTTGAAAACACTAGAAATCATCTAAGTCCATTCAAGTCTTGTAAAATTTTTATAGAACAATAAAGACAAAAAACAGTTGGTTACAATATAAACTTCTGTCCTTCGCCTCCTCACTGAAGGCCAGGCCTGTGATACTAAAATCCCAGGATCAGATATTTAATGTGACAGTAGGGGAAGAAGGTTTCTGGACTGGACTGTGGAATTTGATCTAGTTAATATTTTAATTTAGTATTTCATTTTTACAAGTTTCACTTGTCCTCTGTCTTGGAATGCTTATTATTTGCTGGATATTAGATATTCCATATCTGAGATAATACTCACTTATTCTGATTGGGTAAATAGAAAGAGATGCTTGCTTGCACAACAGTAGATTAAAAAACCCCAAAACCCAGGTATGAGCATAATAAGCTAACCACTGAGAGATGTCCTTCCAGAAAACTGAGTCAATTCCACAGAATCATCTTCAGATTTGGCATCATGTTTGGGTTGGTGTTTTCTCAGCCTACCTTCAATTCATCCTTACCTGGATCAATTACTTTTATGTTGTTTTTAACATGAAAGAAGTTTGAGACATTGAACTTATCCAGGTTTGTTGGATCCTGAAAATAAAAATAATTTAAAAAACTAACATCAGAGACCTTGGTAGGTACATTTTCCAAGCAACAGACTACATCGAAGGGCAGACACCATAATAAATAAACAGGGAGAGACAGAATAACTTCCATACTCCCCAAACCACAGAAAGATGAAAAAAATATAAAGCAATCAACCCCAGCCAACATCAGCAACCAGTCAGGTCACAGCAGACTCCTTAGGGATCTGGAATTCAGTTCCAAACATAATATTACACATATCTCACCTACAGAAGTTACTACCAGAACTCAGCCAAGTCTCCCCTATCTTAGAGAATAAAGAACAATGCAATCCCCTGGTTCTTTCCTTTGTTCTGAGCTTTGGTCTAAGATCTGTGCAAAAGCACATCAGCTATCTCCTGCTATTTATAATCCTAGCCCTGATTTGCACATGCTCTGTGAACTTTTGCAATGCATCTCAAAATACAAATAAAACCCTCAGAGCAAGTCTCTGCAGTAAGAACTGTGTTGACAGTTGTTTTTTTTTTTTTTTTTTTACTAGTGCTTATAGAACTATGCTTAAAAATATGAAAAAAAAAGAAAAAAGCTGTTATGAAAATTCAATTTAGTTACCACTGGAGGAAAATAGCAAAAACACACAGTCCATTAACTGTGATCCTTTTTGCTATCTCTAGGCAACTTTCTGCAGAACTATGACCTTTCAGAGAGAGCAGGACAAGGAATGCCTACTGGTGATCTAGGTTACTTCATACTATTATTAAACAGTCTTTAATCCTCTCCTTACAATGACTTCAAGGCTTTCTCCTCAAGCTCCTCTGCAGCACAGAAAGGTCAAAACATCAGCCCAGGACACCCAGACACTAATGGAAAGTCTATCTTACAGAAAACAATTCAAACTTTAAAATACCAAACTAATAAAGTAATATGCAATAGTTTCTAGTTCAGGATAAAAATAATGCAATATATTATGCAAAAAACCATGAATAAAAAACTAACATGAACAGTATTAAACATATTATCCTAAAAAATTTAACAAAGCTTCTCAGACCACTATGGTTGATAAAAAGTTTGACAATTTCATCTCTGCCAGAAGTAATGCTTAATACAAGCAGAGCTGCTAGCTCCATAATTTATAAAATTATCTAAGTATGCCTTTCATTCATCCCTGAAATAGTATGCTTCCACCAGAGAGTGCATTTTTAGTTTTATTGCTGGTAGTAGTAAAACCAAAACGGATTTATGAAATCAAGCTGTGTGATTCTGCACCTTAATGGGACCTCCTGGCTTTCTGCTGTCCCATTTCCTAATCATCAGATAACAATCTTCTATTGTTTCCTGTCCCACTATACCCCTCCAATAGATCTTCATTGAGACAAAAAAAAACTGCCCCAAAAAATTACATTTTTAAGATTTTGCTTTAGAAACAGACAATCCTTAAATAAAGCTACTAAAAAATAGGAAATTGGGATCTGGTTTTTAGCCATTTTTGTTTCCTGTGACACCAGCACTCAGGTGTATTACCATACATACATATTTATATATGTGAATAGAGATTAGTTTAAGCTCTGCTTTCTGACAGTCAACAAGATGCATGGAGAAAGTCTGGAGAAAGAACTTTGTGAGTTTCACAAGATGTTTTCAGTCTGAAATACTCTGCAGCAATCATGAGCTGCAGTTTTCCAAGACAGAAATCATTGCTCTGCACATAAATATACTACCTCAAAAGGTGAAGGAAGGAAGGACTGCTTACCCTTTCAGGAAAGGGAAAAATATCTGTGTATTAATGTTAATAGAGATAATAGATTTATAGCAATCCATGTGTGCAGTTCACGGCAAAGCTGAAGGGCAAGACTTGACTCCTGGAAACAATTTTTCATGGACAGGCAGCAGTAAAAATGAAACAGAAAACACCTTCATGATGTTCCTCTAAATAAAGCATCTTCATTTATTGACTTATTGATTGTTTAAAAATAAATAAAGGACATCACAACTGCCAGTGCCTTACAAAACCCAGGGCCTTGTGCTCAGGGTACCACAAATCAGATTAGTTCACATTGTTTAAGAGCCACAGTTCATTCAAACATCTACGTGGCTTAACCAGCCTAATCACAGGCATTGAGCAACTCCAGCAAAATGTTTACAGCCTCCTTCCTTGCAGGGGATTTCTCAGGGCTCTCCAAATCACCACCAGCCCCTGTTTTGGCAGTGCATCTATTATCATTTGAAGGACAGCAGAGGCCACAGGGCAGCTCCCTCTCCCTGCAGACCAGCTGTCCATCTGCCCTCTGGGAGATCTGAACTCCAAACCCCAGAACTGTGACCCAGGTCCTCTGTAAAAGCTCCTTCCATCACAGCCACGTGGGCCATCTCTTTCAGTGGAAACCTTGACAAAGGTTCAGTTTACAGTGTTGTCCCTTGTATTGCTGATTCTGCAAAGCAAGAGTCTCACCACATTTCGAGAAGGGGGACAACCCACACTCCTACCCCAAAAGAGATTTCCCTCTGTCAGTGGAATAGGCTCTCAAAAAATGGCTCCTCAAATTGAAATTTGAGTATCATCTTGTACAGGATACCTAGGATATGTTTATTTCTCCCTCTAAAATATAGCATCTTGATATACTAGGAGAAGTTTGATTAGAATTAGTTTGAATCAGAATTAGCATACTGTGAAAGTACTGCAGTGAATACTAAGTCAAACACAAGATACAAGTTGCTTCTACCTGCTCCCAAGAGGAGAAACATATCTGACTAGTCCAACCTGCGCTGCAGAAGACACAAACCATTTCCTTACTGGTGGTACTGAGTCCTTCAACATGAGATATAAATTTTTTAAGGTAACAATATGAAAAGTTTGTAAGTCTTTAGACATACCACTTCAGGAAGAAAACTGTCTAAACACTAATAATTAGCCTGCCAAGATCCTCTCATTGCATCCATGACAGTTACTGGGCAGAGAATCAGAGCAGTCCAAACAAGATGCCACAGAGATGGGCAGACAGACACACTCACATTGTCAAAGCCTCAAGCTCTAATGAGTTAATTGCCTCTCCTGGTCAGAGAAAGGCTGGACTCATAGGGATGTTCCCAATCCTATTAAGATTAAGGCCTGGAGCCCAAAGATCTAAAGAAATAAGTTCTGTGTAAATGCACAGAAACTAGAAAGGAAGATAAACCATGGCCTACTTTTGTTTGTCTTAGCATGTTTAAAAATACGTACACAAAACACCATGGCTGTCAGTCTCAGGGCTTTTCTTATTAAGGTTACAAACAATAAACTTTAGTTTAGCAAATTACTAGCACAGATATAGACTTCAAGGGGTTGCGAACTACTATCATTATTAAAAATCTTACATTTCATGTTTTCCTGAAAGCTGAGTTCTGAAAACAAGTAATCTCAAGTTTTATTCCACTTGGTTTTTTCCAGTCATTTTCTGGTTTTACCTGCTTAAGGAAACAGCTTGAACTGTTAATCTTATGCACCACACAGAAGCCCCCAAATAGCAGGTTAAAACCAGCAGGTTTAGACTGTGTGATTTCTTTAAGTTCTGATTTCTCTCACCATTTGGTTGGCCATGCTGCATCCCTAATTATGCTCAGGACTGTCAGCTTCATATGCTGACCATGTCGCACCTCTTTACCCTCTGCTCTGCAAGTCCGTTGGTGCGGGATTCTCCCTCACAGAGACCTCACCCACAACCGTGAGGAAATCTGCTCTGACCTTCTGTCACACAAAGAGCAAATGAGGAATAGCTGAGGAGTGAAATATCAATTAACAGTGTGCAGCTCAGCTACCTCCAGTTCTGCTCATTAGCTGTGCTTCCTGCCACAAATGTCAGCAGTGTTTAACAGCTTGTAGGGAGCCATGTCTTGTCCACAGCTGATTATATAGAAACAATAAAGCTGACATAAGGAAGTACATAACAGTATGAGGCTTTTTTCCCTTTAACAGCAGCTAACCTGTTAGTATTTACCCAGACTTGGAGTTTTCTTCTCTTCCCCCCTCAATTTCTGCAGTGCAAAGATGCATTTGTTAGCCTGCATCTACCAGGGAAGGCTCTCTGCAGGCTGCCACCAGAGCACTGTGCCTGCTACCCCTGGCACAGCAGGGCAGGGGCTTTATTGCAATTCCTTAGGCAAGGAGGAACCCCCACATGTGCCTCTGCGTCACCTGCAGCACTGCCACTGAGCACAGCCACATTTCTCATTAAATCCCCTGCCAGCACACAGTTCAGCAATAGCTTTGAAGAGTTTCCAGAGAAGGAGTAATTTCTGCTGTATTCTCACAAACTGAAGTTTGTCTCTTGTTTGTGAATAGACCCACAGTGGAGGATAATAAATGGATGGGGTTCTATCAAATGGGATGTGAACGCTGGGTATTTCAGCATTCTTACTTTGCTCTCCTCAGGACATCTCACACTTGCTGGGATGGGAAGTTCCCCACTGTGTCCAGCAAAACAATACCTGACTCTGCTCCTCTCTCCAGCTTGAGCTGGGGCAGACACTTGCTTCAGCCTGGTCTTATAAGAGGGAATTCAGAAGACAGGTATTTATGTGCTTGCCATTAAGTTCCACATCATTACACAGAGAATAATTTGCATAATATAGGATTAAAACGCACATGGAATTTACATTCACACTAATTAAAAATAATTTCTACCAGATTTTGTCATAAAGATTTGACAGTAGACATTGAGATCTAGCAGTATATCCCCCAGAAATTTACTTGGAATATAATCTCAAAGTAGGTTAAACATTTAGACTGAATACTAGCTGAAAACCTGTAAAACACAGGCCTGAAAGAATTACCTAGATCTGAACTGAAGTCTAATACACTATTATTTCAAAAACTGTGCTCAATCCTACTTTGAATCCAATTGCAAAAATGGTGAACCAATTGAAATTATGAACAGCAATGTACCAGAATGGCAAGCAGAGGAGGGAGGTAAGAACACTGCAAACAAGTGTTAACAATATCAGCTTTTCCATTACAGACACCCCGTCCCCACAGATCCCCAAGAGCTTTACATCCTGCCTTACCTATTAAAAGTAACTAATTAATCTTACAGTACTTGAGTTGTCTGTCAGCTGGGAACACATTCATGACATTTTCAAGGGATGCTGAGTTAGGCTGAGCAGATCATCATCAAGGAAAAGAATATAAGTAGGTTGAAAGTTGAGAAACACAGACAACATACAACAGCAAATTCCATTAAAAACAGACATGAACCAGTACAGTTAAAGAAAAATTATCTGATATAATGATAAGGAGAGAGAAACTTTGAAAAATGTAAGACCTGCACTACAGAAGATGGAAAGCTTGACTTGAGTTTGTAGCAAGATCACAAAGCTAAGACAAGGAAATTTAAACTTTAGTGTAAAGTGCTACAGTCTAAAAAGCCAGTAATACTAGGAGTGCTGTATCTAGGAAGGGTATCATATGGAATAATGTCATGTGCATTTCTGTCATCATCAGCAAAATCCTAAACTAGAATCCATGACATCTTCTGCCTCAATAACTCCATTCCAGTACTGCTAATGTCTCTTGCACACCAGGATATGGTATTACTCTTTACCTCCTGCCCTGACTGGCTGGATAATATGGCCATATGCTGATGAAAAAGTGCCATGCTCCACCCCAGGACATTTGCATTTCAACAAGGGAAAAAGTAATTTCTGTATATGGACTACGTGTAGGGAGTACTGTAGATTCCTTTACAAAGAGAAGCACATCATAGACCATAACACAGTATTATTAACAACTGAAGTTGTGATTCTGCTTTTTTAAATTTTGAATTAAAAAAAAAGTTGTCCTTTTTAACAAGTAAGTAGCACATAAATAACTGCTACTAAATTCAAAGCAACCAGATCAGATGGAGCTTAGCAGAAAAGATAACAGGGTGGACTACGACTCGTGTTTGAATAATGTTTAGCACCAAGAACAGGAAAAGCACATTATGCAATTCTGCCTCCTCTGAAAAGAGCAAATGTTTCTTGTTTTGTTTTTAATTATATATATTAGGAGAGAGAAGCCAAGTTTGAGGTCAGTTACTATTCTGGCAAAATCCAAGGAAATGTAGGATTGTCCTTTATGTATCAACAAGGAAAAATGTGGTCATACAAATAACCTGTAAACATACATCATTCATATTTTCCACTTACCATGTTGCATTTCACTACCAAACACAGGTACCCCCTCTGTTTCCTAGGACATTCAGAGTCAGCCTCTGGAAATGCTATTTTCTATTGCTAAACACAGCTACTACAGACAGCCCTATTCAGCTGTTATTTGCAAAGCAAAGAATGTTTTTTATAGCAACTTCCTTTATATCTACTTTTTTGCCAAACAACAGGGTCAGTGATATCAACTCAGTCTCAATTCCAGCTCTCTTGGATATCACTGCACTCAATTTACATGGGGAAATGAGGAAACAACAAAGTGATAAATTTCAACACAGAACTGAAAGGTTTTTAAGAGAAGGAGGAATTGGGGTAGAGCTCTGAAACACAACAGATTGCAGTCATGAACTCTGGCTAAGAAACAGAGCCACAGGTGGTGGAGCTTGGCAGTGTGAAGCCTGAAGCCACCACACCGCCTGCAGCGTTGTCAACAAGAGAGCTTGTAGAGGAGATGTCGGTCTGTCTTTCAATAATTTATATGAAGAAAACATTGTGAGAAAATAACAGCTCATTTCTCTACCACATCTACTTAAGTAATTCTAAAACCCAGGCTACTCATGCCACTTCAGGTTGAATCTTGGCCTCAACAAAGCAAGTCAGGGTAGGGCAGAATTTGAATAGGAGAAATCAAGCTCTCTACATGCAAGTTTGCAGGGGGTGTTGTACAGATAGCTCAATGGCTCTCCTTCAACAGCCTGAAGCCAATTTGGACTGTTAAAAATAATTCTGAAAAAAATATTTAAAAACTGATCTGGTAAAAGGTCAAACTTTATCTGGTCAACAGCATTCAGATGGTCAAATCTCTTGCAGTCCAATCTCAAGATGGGGGTGTCTTTGCTGTTTCCAAACTTATTTAAGAAGAGTGTAGCAGAAGTTAACACCAATCCACACTGAACTGTTTGCTTAAGATAAAATCTACTCACACATTATGAATGCCACCCTGAACGGAGGTGGGAGAGGTGCAGGGCTGTGGCTGTGACCTTGGACTGCACAACTATCAGAATCTACTTAGTTTGATATTAGACATATTTCTCCAAGCAAAACAGAAACCCAACATGTGAAGAATGAAGATGAAAAATGCTGATAAAAACTCACACAGCGAATGACTAAATTTTTAGATGTTGCACTTTGAGATTTAGAGGACTAGAACAGCTGTGAAAAATCAAAAGCTAGGCAAGTAACAGGAACACACTCTTTATACATACATTCAATTCCAACCCTACAAAACATACCAAAATATTTTTTAGTGACTGCACATTTCAATTGTTAGTTCAAAATAACTTGGTTTGCCATATGGGTGCACAGACACATTTTTAGACACTTGTCTTTTTTTACTTTTCCAAATCCATTAGCAACCATGCAGTTACACAGAAATAACATTCTGTTGGGAGCTTTCAATCAGAAAAAAAAAGCTGTATTTTTTGCATCCATTGGAATAAAAATATTTTCCTTTGTTGCATTAGCTTGATCACCAACAAGCCCAAAGGAACAGAGGAAAAATATTTTAAAACATGCTGTTAAGCACTGGGGAGTAGACAAGAAGGGTTACACTTTATTTAAATTTAGACATAAATGAAATTAAATGACTATTTGAATTAGACTGTATTGGTCTTGCTAGCGGCAATTAAGTGTTCATGAGATGCATACTAACTCATGATTTCAATAATAATGATCCAGGAATCTTTTTTCCCCTGTTTTGAAATTATGCAAGCTTAAAAGTACCTACTTTTAAACAAAAGTTTTAGATCTTTTGATACTAAACTTCATCTGTAAATAAGTATCTTTTACACTGTAAAATTCACAATGCTCTTTTAATTTAGGTTTTAATTTTCTTAAAATCAGCAAAGAACCAAAACTGGTATCTATCAAGAAGCAAAACATTCCAAACAAGCAATTAGAAAAAGACCTCTGGTTTGTTGCCTTCCTCTACATTTAGAGAAACATTCCTTGGAAAATATTTTGCTGAACCTTTGACTCTTTTATACATCTTTGGAAGAGTAAGATGGACAATCAACTACAGTCTTAATGTAACATGTCAAGTTCCTAAAAGCTTAAATACTCTACATACTAAAGATTGTTTCTTTTGATACCACAGACCATGTTACTACTCATCCAGATTGTGTCACGTGGAATCTTTGTGGCTTTTCTGGATAACAAAGAAAATACAGTGAAGTTTCTCTGATCAGCTACTCTGGTTTCCTGCTAGAACAGTGTACACAGCACCATTTCACCCTCTGCAAAATAAAACCCTGTATGGGATAAGGTGTAACAGAGAGAAAAGTTCACCTGCAGTGTGACGATGTCTTGCCGAGTGAAGGGCTCATCTGTCAGGAGATCCTTGTAGCTCTTTGGTTTTATGTTCAGCTGCTCAACTGCCTAACAGCCAGGCAAAAGACACAAATAGCAAAATCTCATTATTGTGTGGAAATATTACAAGTAAATAGGTGATATCAATAAAATGTTGAAGACCAAATCATAAAGAAAACAATTTCACCCTCATTCTCAACTGGCAACTGCAATATTTTCAGTGTGGGCTTTAACAAACGAGAAGCTTTTGTCGCTCATCCCGACAAAAGTTGACAGTTTTGTGTGGTTTGCTGGGTTATTTTTCTAAGACAAACCTTGCAATCTCCATTCCATAGTTATGTCCATCATTCAACCAAATTAATCATAAAAGAAATGCCAAAATTAAAAAAAAAATCTTGCTTTCAGTTTTCTAAGCTCATACCTGCAAAAGACTCCTGAATCTATCTTATTTACCCAAATGTCCTCTGTGGTTCTCAGATGGAAGAGATAATGTCCCAGAGATAATGACCTCCAGAAGGCCATGAATTAATTCCATGCTTATAATAAACCAGTAACTGCAATGATTTCATGTGGTACCACATGGGGCACAAACCCTCTTGGCACAGCCCATTCAGGAAGCCCAGTATTGCAAATTGCAGCAAAGAGACAAAGAGTTCTGCAGTAGTGACCAGGGCTTAACAAAGACCACCCTTAAACTCATCCTTGCCTGTTAACCCCAGCAGCCAAAGAATGCTGCTTCCAGAAAGAACAGAAAATATTTTCTATTTTAACCTGATCTAGACTGCTGTCACAGGTGAGGACAGCTCTACTACATCAGAGCAAGTTTTCAGAGCCATGATGAATCCAGCCTTTGCCTTGATTGCAATGGTTTCAGCCTGTTCCTCCCTCAGTATCTGAATATCTCATCAGAATTCGAAAAGATGCTCCACTGTTCAGACTTTTTACAACATTGGATATGGATTCATTAATTGAAGGATTTATTTGCTACTGAAAAAATAAATAAATCTTGCTTTTACAGTAAGGACTATACTAAGAAGTCACAATTAAAATTCTACTTGGGCTTACATAAATGTTCACAAAACATGAATAAAATGCAGTTTAAGTGTCCATTAAGGCATTCTTTCTTCTATATCCCCAGCTCAAGCTAAAATGCCCTTTTTTATTCACTGAATGAATAAAAATGAGGCAATGTTTTTGTCATGACACTGTATCAGAAAGAAGACAACAGAAAATTTGTCTCTTATTTCAACTGAGAAGCATATCAAAGCTACTCATTTTGAAACACAAGATTCAGTACATGCAGATTAACTTAAGAAAAGATTTTAGAAATACTGTTTAATTCATATTCTAAACTTGTTCCTATTTTGAAGGCTAAAGTTGGACAACAATTTATGAAGTCAGTCCATCTCCTGTCCTTTAATTTTCCTGGCTGTAAAACGAGAATAAAATTTATTTGTCTTTCTAAAACATTTTGTGATTTTGACTGAAATGCATCAAGTACAAAATAATAATAATAATAATGAAATGCAATAGAGAACCTACCTCATAGGCAAACACATTTCCAGTAGTCTTGATGGCCACAATATGGGAGTTATTGGTAAATACAGTAAACAGCACTGGACAGTGGTACTTGCCTGACAGAGGGAAAAAAGCATACATTTCACGTGAAGACCTGTAACTGTTTTGAAATAGCTTATTTCTCTGATCTCTGTGGATTATATTTATATTAATTTTTAATATAAAGTGTAACTTCAGTGGGCACTTAATGGTGTTTTAAAAACATTTTGATTCTCCAGTGACAGAAAAAATGGTAGAGAAAGTAACAGTTTAGAGAGCTATAAAACAAGCAAGGAAAATGCAGTTTTTAAATCTATTGCCTCCAATTTCCTAACACACAACTTTGTCTAACCTGTTTGATATTTATGAAATACCATCATATAATTGTTACTGTTGTAATCAAAGATCTATTGATAACATGAACCTTATAACGTGTCCAGTATCACTCTTGTTCCCAGGAATAAAAGTTTAGCTTATAGCCTACAGAAAAGTACACAGCAGCTGCTGTGCTTTAAGCAGAGGAGAGCATTTTGTATTCAAATGTGGCAAGCAGAATGCCATTAAATCTGAACACGTTACTCAGTAAGGAACCCAGCTTCTGCTCTAATCAAGCTGTGAATTTTCCCAGGAGGGTCAGCATAAATATTAAGCAAGTCAACAGCAAGCAAACTGATGGGAGGCAATGTAGGAGGAAAAAGAAAAATGTCTGGATAATCTCAGCAGAAAGCAGTTAGAAGAAGATTATTAATACTTGATCAGCTTGCTAGACCTGGGGGTTTGGGTGAGATTTTTTAAATAAGTTGGGCTTAATTTAGTTCTTTTCCTCCTAATTACCATTTGAAAATCAAAAGCAGCAGGGAGGCCAGAACAGGCTGCTCACAGCACCTGCAGGGACAGGGGAGGCAAACACCCGCAGAGACCGACCCCTCACTGCGCCACCAGAGGCAGCTCTGCCCCCTGCACAAGCCAAAGCTGAGGACACTTTTGTTAATGCCACCAGGGCTGAAGGAAAGCCACTGCCACAAGGGACTGAAACTCAAGAAAGGCCTTTTTGCAAGTGCCCAGTTGATGGATACAGAAACACACTGGTAAAATGTGAGGCCTCATTTCAGCTTTGTAAAAAAAAATAAGTCACCCTATTCTCAGTCCTAGGAAAAGCAAAACTGCTGAGGGCACACACATGTTGATCTGGATGGAAAGTACTCAACTCATAAGTGATTTCTAAATGTGAGAAACTGCAAGGCCCAGAGACCTTTTACATCACATTTATGTGTGAACAGAGAAGATCCTACAATCATTCCACATTATGATTTCGAGAAAAGTTTGCTGACAGACAGAAATACAACACTTTATTTTTGTATTTTGTTGCATTTTCCCTTGGTTGGTTAATGATACAGAATTAACCTTTTCAAGGAAAAAGCTTGTAAGACTCTATGGCTGTTGTCATTCCACCCCAGCATTGTGAGCTGGATTTTTTTAGGGAAAGCACAACGTCATGGTATCTTTCAAAAGCCTTGGCCACACTGACTATTGATCAATTTTTAACACCCTGCTCTTGAGACAGATGGAACACAAGGCACAGAAGAAATCCATCAGCTACAGAAAAGAACTTGTAATCCATAGATTTTGGTAAGACAAGGAGACAGACATTCCAGAATTTTATTCCCACCTAATCTTAGCCATTTTCATTTCAAAGAAATCATTATATGCTTTGTAGAAGATGAATTCATCCCCACTCTCCTCTTTCGCTCCTACCATGTTCTCTTAGGAGGCTGATTTTATATCTTGCAAAACTAAAACTTGAGGCAGCTGTCTTGTGCGCTTCTATTCATAAAATCCCACGTGTTTATTTAAGTCTAATCCCTTTCATAAACAAAAAGCTGTTCAAAACCAAGTGAACAGCAAATATTGCCACAGGCAAGTTGGAAATAAGATAACATTACAGAAATTTCACTTTTTCTGATTCTTTCCTTAAAGTAAACAGTACCTTAGTGGTGTAGCAGCTATATTAAAGTGAAATTGTTGAATAATTTACTCCCCAGTGTAAAGAAAAACAGAAATGGAACTTTGAAGGTAAACATATCATTCACAAGAAGCAATTATTCTACTCAAAAAACATGGTAGAGAACACAAACTACTTAAGTTCACTATGAGTAAGACAAACCAGAATTTATTAGAGCACTCATTAAGGAAAAAAACGCAACAAAGCACCACCACAGAAAATGACTGCACTTACCTTCACTATTTTTAGAAAAATTCAGCTTTATAAGTGATTTGGCATCTAGTTTCTAAAGAAAATAAAGCATTAAAAAGATTAATCACAACAGAATGTAACTACAGAAATAAAAAGAAACTGTAGCATCACTGTTAGGACTTCAATGGTACATAATTTATTAATAATATATTGCTGGTTGTCTGAATTATCAGAACCCTGGGAATTCGAGTCACAGCCCACCAAAACAAGGCTCAGGAAGCCTGAGAATGGGGATATGTTTGTTTACAGGGCTCTATTTGACTCAGGACAGTGCTAACCATGGGGAATCAGTTCAAGGAGTTGCACAACTCTTAGCATAGACTGAAAGGGGAGCTGGCATGAAAAGCTAAGAGGCAAAGATCATTGCCACTGACCAGAAAGGACAATTCAGCAGGGACCTCTGATGAAAGTCATAAAGCTAGCAAACCATTTTGGCAATCAAGCTCGATGCCTTTTCTGAAATAACTGTAATTTTCCTTTTACTCAGGAAATGTGCAGCAGAGCTCACATGACAGCCAGCAATAATAAAAAGAGAGGCACAAGTTCTCTGGAAAGGCATTTGGGGTAACAAAGGGAGACCCAGGAGGGACTTTCAGCCCCTTAACCCCCAGGTAACAATTCCACTGAACAGGGAACTGAGGTGACAGCCAAGGCTGGGATAATGTTCTTCAGCTCTAGAGAGGACACTGCAAACTAAGCTGCTCCTGCTCTCCCACATTTCATCAGAGCTGCCCTCTCTCTGGAAGGGTTTTCTGACATGGGAAGAGCAGAGCTGCTGGGCTGGCAAACATTTCTGGACAATCAGGCTGCTCCTGTCCTGCAGCCTTCCCTAAGACATGGAAGCAGCACACACCCCCAAAGTAACAGCAAGCCTTCAGTAACATGCCAGGTCTCCAGCCATTCCATGGGATCAGCGTGTGATTTGGGCGCATCACTGGCAAGACAGGGCACATCACCACCTGGGTGACCTCATCAGCACAGCCCAGCAGGATGGTCAGGTAGTGCATGACTGTGGCACCCAGCTGGAGATGAAACAAGCTGCAAGGCTGAGTCAGGATCTGAGACTTCTAAAAAACAAAGCTTTTGATTGTATCAGCTGTCAGAGACAGCTTCACAGCCAAATGGATCCTTAAAAGCACATACAGCACAGGCCTTTTAAAAGAAACAATTGGTTCTCTTCTCAAAACATGCACCTGAAGAAATTAGGGAGGTTTTTATAACCCAGATAGTTACAAGTGGAGATCTGCCAGCCCTGGTGCCAACATGCTACCTCAATCATTATGGCAAAAAACAATAAAGTGTGAAACTAAGTTAGTGGGCTTTCTGTGCCTAATCAAAATTCGTATTCTTGGTTTACAGAGTACATGTTATGACAGCTGGACTCATTCATTTATACGAAGGTGCTTCTCAAATTGCTCTCAACCAACTGGCAGGCTCATTTGCTGCCAGAAAGGTAAGCATCTCTCTAATTCATTAGAGGAAGAGCAATGAGAGCTTGTAGGAAAAAGATGGGAAGGGAAAAAAGAGGCCAAATTTGGTTATATGTAGTTATGTGATAGAAGACCAGTACGCCTGCTTTTCCTTAAGTGGATTCTCAAAAAAAAACCCACCCAAACCATTCTAATATCTGCCCACTGCTGGGGTACAAAGGAGGACAGCAAAAGCAATGGCAGCAAATGGCAGTCTGAAATTAATACGTGAATGCAGAGCTTTATTTATCTATTTATCTTCTTACAAGAACAAATTTATCAAAGAAGTAGCAGGGGAACTGCAGAGTTGCCAAAATGAACATCTGATCCTGGACAGATCTGTTCAACCTAAACAACTATTAACACAAAGCAGCATCCATCTGTGCACATGTTGTGCAACAGCCCAAAAATTATGTTTCAGAAAAAGCTTCTTTAGAAATACAACCAGTGGAAACATAGATAATTTCAAGAAAGGTCCTTAAATTATCCTCCTGGCAGACCTGAGCTACGCTCAAAACACATGAACATCTTTACAGAAAAATGGAAATAGTTCCATAAGAAACAGTTCAGCATGATTGAAGATTCAGATTTATACCTTGACAGAAATTACACAGAAAAGACAGCCTAAACTGCTGTGCAGACTTTAAAGGTAGCAAAAGCTGCAGTGCACTTTTCATCTGTCACCCTATGATGTATTGTTAGAAATGCTGTCAAGTCCTCGGGCTCTCACTCCGTGCCCAGGGAAATAGTATGGTATTTCAGGTCATATCTTTCCATAATATGGAAAAAGGTTATTTTTCAGCCTCAGTTACCCATGGTGATTCAGCTGCTCATGCTAGATCTGCTCCCCACAGAGACCAGCACGTACACAGTCTTATGTCAACAGTAAATAAAAAACCAGTGACCATCATACAGGAGTTGAAGTACTGCCTAGAGTGAGAAGTCTATAGTGAAGTGTTGTATGAATATTACAAACTTTTATTGCCACAAGCTGGCCTTCTATCAGGCCTCCCTTGAAGAAGCGACCTTGGCATGTCAACTCATGCCCTTTGGAGCAGCTCCAGCTTGTGTGGCAGGGCAAGAGAGGGATTTAGGATTTCGGCAAAGGAAATCTTTGGAGCTTCAGAACAGCAAAACCAGATGATGATGTGCTACAATGGACTGCTCAATGCCCAAGACCAGGCTACAGGATCTGCCAACTGCACACAGAGTAGCCACAGAGGAGGGAGCCCACAACCAGGACTTCCAGGAGGTTCAGTTTTGAAACTCCTACACATTACCGGGAAAGTATAATAGGACATGATATAGGCAAACTGTGTAATATAATTTTTTCCTCTCAAGTTCTTCATTTCACAAGAAAACAGGATTATCTTGCATGTGGGTGAATCTCCTTTTATTTATTCTCTGCCAAAAGTCAAAGCTTTCCAAGCACCATCACACAGTTTGTTGCCATGGAAATGACCGTTATGCCACAAACGGGTGCCGATCTTCACTGTAGGAGACAGCAGGAGTGAATGAATCCTAAAATGAGTTAAAGTACTTCTTTTCATGTATTTTTTATTATTAATAATGCTTAAGAGAGAATAAATATTACATACATAGCTCGAGTTCACAACTATTTTCAACCTGAGTTTCCCTGATACACACCCACCATCCAGTTTCAGCCATGCTCCAGTTAAGAAAGCAAGAGGAAAAAAAAGTGTTTATTAAAAACACTTGATCTAATTAAATTCAAAATTCCTAATGACAATGAAAAGACCACAAGCATCTGCCACTTCCCTTAAGCAGAAATAAGAGCTGCATATTCCCTTCTAAAAATATTTTATGCAGAAATACTGAAAAGCAGATGCATTTCACGGCACGTAGTGCCAGCTGCTCCACAGCAAGGAAGAGCTAAAAAAAAAAAACAAATGCAAAACCGTGCGAGCTCTTTTCTCAGCTGACTCCTCTCTCGCAGGCACACTTCCACAAAGGCAGCCAAGGCTACTTTTGGCCATGACCTACTTTCCTGTGGCAGCGAGCAGCCCCAGCGCCCCGCGCGCTCTCCTCTGTCAGCTGACAGCCCTGGCTCCTGCGGGATCCCAAAGGGCAGCATCCTTTATGAGAGCCGGGCAGAGGTGGTGACGCCACCGAGGTTAGTGGGGCACTGTGGCAGCTCGCGGATGGAGCGCGCCGATTGTTTCAAATTAAATCATTCTCTGTCATCGCTGGGTGTCTCATGCAGATATGACCTACAATCCCCATGCATCAATTAGTTACACTCGCTGAATCTCTTTGGTCTGTGGCTGCACGTTCTTCTTGTTAATAAGGCTCTGACCCTGTTGGATATGCACCAGCCTGAAAAGCAATCAAAAAGGGCTCCACTCGTTCTCTACCCACACATGGACAGGGTTGGTGACGTGCAGCAAGAGGGGTGTTTAGTAAAGACAGACTTTCCCATCCTACCAACAGCAACTGAGTAAGTGTTCAAATGTTCAGCACGTGGGGATTGGACCTCCTGATCAGCCACACTGAACAGCCTCTGCCAGGAACACACAAAAATCCAGGGAAGCTGGTATAGAGGCTGTGTGGCCAGATTTTGGTACTGGGGGGCTACAGGGGTGGCTTCTGTGAGAAGCTGCTGGGAGCTTCTCCTGTGTTCAGCTGGCTCCAGGATGGACATGCTGCTGGCCAAGGCTGGGACAATCAGAAATGCTGGTAAAGCAGCTGGGATAACTTATTTAGGAAGAAGATCTCTCCTGGCCTTTATCTCAACCCATGAACCCCCAGTGACATTTTGTCTCCCCTGTCCAGTTGTGGAGGGCAGTGAGAGAGGGGCTTTGATAGTGCCTGGGGTCCAACCATGACCAACACTATAAATGGGGAATAATGAATGTGTCACATCTGAACTGGCTGATAATATGAGGTCAAAAATCATACAGAGCTGGCATGGCCATTTGATAGTTTTTCATCCCACCAAACCAAGAAACACAGAGTTACCTCAAGCAGAAGAGAAAGCCAGAACAAATACTAATATTGAAATGCAGTGTTGCCTACCAAGTACCAAACTTAGCTTAGCAACAGCAAATGAATTTTGTATTACATTCCTTGGTTTCTTTAAAGATGAGACCTGTTACATATAACTTTACATACAACTTCCCATTTTAAGAAGCCTCCTTACAATTTTCCTTGCTATAAAATCTCCCCCAAAAAGTGGGGCATGAGTTCAATGAATAGTACTGGAATAACTCCTTGTATAATGTTACTTATTTCAGATTTTGTAAATGGATTTAAGATGATAAAGGGCATTTGAAATCCTCAAGCCTACACATTAGGGTTTGCAACAGGAAACAGCAACACTGTTTTAACAAAATAAGCCATCTATAGGTATTTTAACACTCCATGAAAAATTTGGGCTCAGCAGTCAAGAGGCCAGAACAGTCTCACAATTCCAGGTGTCATTTCTATGTTTAATTCAACAACAAAAATGCTCAGTATTTATCACAGCTGCCCACCTAATGCTAAAAAGATATCCTCAATTCACATTCTTGGATGAAGCTGCTGTTTAACTGCAGTCTTTATGTAC